TAATACAGTCACCGAAGAGTGCATTGTGCTACCTCTGTCTCTTATACACATCTAGATGTGTATAAGAGACAGGTATATGACACTGCGACTCACATATTGATACATAATCACAAAGTACGCGCGATCTCCGTCTATATCGAACGCGATATATGCTTCGTGCCTGTATGGGCCTCGCTCCACTACTCACCAAATGTGCAAAATGTGAATGAACCTTGCGCTAGAACATGGACAGATACACCGCCATATTTTTCGTCTTTTGTGCATGTGGTGAGTAGTGCAACGAGGCCCTTGGTATCCTCATGAAGAATTACCCTGTGAAAAATAGGCAGAGTAGGAGGAGAAAAGGACAACAAACGAGGGGCTGTGACAGACTTCCTGTCGGAGTTTCATCAATTCATCAGGAGGATAAAATTATATATTCTTCGTTTTTTCTATATAGATAGATAAATAGATAGATAGATAGATGTGGGCACAAAAATACTGCGACTATATCTCGAAATACATTATACATACGTAATCATATGTACACAAATAACTACAGTATTAAGTATGTACATATATATCGTCACAAACAGAACTGCCCGGTAAACCGTAGGCAGAGAGAGAGAAGAGGACAACAAACGAGGGGCTGTGACAAACTGTTTCGTCGGAGTTTCACCGACTGACTAAGTATGTACATATATATATATATAGAGAGAGAGAGAGAGAGAGATTACCATAGATGTGTGTTCTTCGCCGATACATGATACAAATGAATATATGTGCATATATATCGTCAAACACAGCTGCCCGGTAAACCGTAGGCAGAGAGGGAGAAGAGGACAACAAACGAGGAGGGGCTGTGACAAACTGTTTCGTCGGAGTTTCACCGACTGCCTCATCAGGAGGCTGAACCCTCAACAGTCCGCAGAATCCCCTAACTGATTACACTAAGTGATAATCCACCTTAACCCCGGCTATATACATATATAACTATAGATAGATAGATAGATAGATAGATAGATAGATACGGGAAATGGCGAAGCATCCGTGTTTTAGGATTAGCGACGGACGATGGACCGCCGTCACGATTGGACAAATAAACAGAAAAATGGAAAGCTGGGGAGAGAAGAGGATAAAAGGACGAGAAAAGGAGAAAAGGACGAGGAGAAGAGGGAGGAAGCGAAAGAACAGAGCAGACGAAAAAGTGGTGGGGAGAAGGAGATGGTGAAGGAACGGTCGAGAAGCGTCAACAAAGTGGGGAGAGGAGGGCCTGCCCCGTCCAATCGCCTGCAGCAGCAGCAGCAGGAGGAGGAGGAGGAGGAGGACGAGGAGAGGGAGAACGAGGGGGAACAGCAAGGTAGGTGAGGAAGAAGTGCGGTGAGACAGTCAGCCCCCTCAAATCAGCAGCTATCAAAAAAGTGCGGCTGCGGGGGCGCCAGCCATGTCAAACCCATAGGAGAAAAAGGAGAAAGGCGGAACAAAAACAGGAGAAGAGGGGGAGGAAAGAGGAGAGGAGCAGAGCACACAGGAAAACGTTGAGGATGAACAGATTGCAGGTCGCCAAGGAGTGAAAGGAGAGAAGCGCCCGCACAACCTGCAAAAAATGAGTGATATCTTGGCTGCCCTTCTTTATCTGTCAATCAACCGGCCATTTCCCGCCATTAATGCTTTTTTTCCCCGAGCTCTCCCTTTCACACAAATATCTACAAGAATTACGGGAGAGCGCGGGGAAAAAGCGCAGCCTCACTTACAATGAATACATCAAGCCCCAGGGTGTGCCTAACGCTGGTTTACAGAAGCGACTATCGGCACGGGAGAAAAGACGTAGCGAAGACGAAGGAGAGGAGTGGGAGACAGAGAAGCACAGAAGCAAGAAGGATAGGAGGAGGCAGAGGAGGATGATCTGGAGGAGCGATATTCCATGCAGAACGAAAAGGATACTAAAGTAAAAAAATGCGGAAAGAGGGCAGGGAATGGAAAAACGTGTTGGCGAGAAGCAGTCCATCAATGGCTATGGGAAAAGAAGAAGTGTCGATTTTCTCTCCCTCTCTCTCTCTCTCTCTCTCTCCCCATGTTTGTTTCCACGTTCGTTTCCTCCTCCGTTCACATGTTCTGGAGGAAGATATATCAGCTTCTTCCACCGTACAGAGCAAGACGAGTGTGAGATAGATTCAGCAATGGACATGGAAAAGGCAGAGAGATCATAACGCGGCAAAACAGCCTCAAAGTACGATTCAACCACAAGAATAGCTCCAACAAAGGTGAGGAACAGACATACAGAGAGACAGACAGACAGACATAGACATAGACAGGCAGAAAGACGGACAGACATACATAGACAGGCAGAAAGACGGACAGACATAGATAGACATAGACAGGCCGCTAGACATAGACAGGCAGACAGACACATAGATAAACATAGACAGGCAGACAGGCAGACATCGCTATACATAGACAGGCAGACAGACAGACATAGATAATCATAGACAGGCAGACAGACAGACAGACAGACATAGACCGACAGGCAGATAGGCGGACATAGATAGACAGACAAACACAGACACAGATAGACATAGACATAGACAGACAGACACAGACATAGATAGACATCATAGACAGACAGACAGACAGACAGACAGACAGACAGACAGACAGACAGGCAGGCAGACAGACAGACAGACAGACAGGCAGACAGACAGACAGACAGACAGACAGACAGACATAGACAGGGGGACAGAGACAGATAGACAGAGAGATAGACAGATTGACAGGTAGCTGGTTACCCCACTGATCTTCGGGAGTTGCGTATCTTACTTACCTCCTTGTCGCTACACAACCCGACCGCCCCACTTTTACAACTGATGTTGCCTGTTTTCAAGTGGATTCGAACCACTGACACTAGGATTTCCAGTCCTTTGCTCTAATTGATTGAGTTAGTATCTTACTCTCCGCAACTCAGGTGACTTTCAAAATGGCAAGCGTCGCGACGAGGATTCTAATCAGTCCAGAGATCCGGTCGGTATATCGATCGACCGGTTGATTATGCCAGCCTGCCTGCCGCCTTTCTGAAGCTGGGAATATACGACCCCCCCCCTCCTATCTTCGACTTCTGACCTTACCGCCCTTCAGTCGAAGCCAAAAAGGCTAGCTATCACAGCCCCTCTTCCTTGCTTTTCATAACTATATTAATGACTATATATAGATATACATATATACATAAATACATATATTGTTGTCCTCTTCTCCCTCTCTGCCTACGGTTTACCGGGCAGCTCTGTTTGATGATTTATTGACGATATATATTGTCACATGATATATATAGTCAAACAGAACTGCCCGGTAAACCGTCGGCAGAGAGGGAGGGAGAAGAGGACAACAAACGAGGGGCTGTGACAAACTATTTCGTCGGAGTTTCACCGACTCATCTGGAGATATGTATATAAAATATATGTATATATAAAATGCCTCTTCAACTGGAGTAGAACAGTGGATGAACCATTCGGGGTTGTCGGATGCATCTATATATAGAATCATAGACCAATTTGGCCGTACACACCCATACCCGATCCCACCCCCTTATAGATCTTTAAGACCCCACCACATGACAAGCTGATAATCTGCTAATAGCGAGCCCACTTGATAGCCATAAGAGGAAATTGGGTTTGCCATAAAAGGCAATGGGGTTTGCCATAAAAGGAAATGGCGTTTGCGATACACCCATAAAAAAAGGAAGTGGATTTGTGGAACAATACACCCACGAAATGGAAATGGATATGTGACACAATAGACTCATATAGAAGCAAGTGGGGTTCGTAATATAGTAGTACACCCATATGCTGTTCTGTCAGTGTCGGTCTGTCCGATTCATAGTCAAATAGGCAGACGTCTTATGCTCCTCTCAAATGAGCTCGCCTCTCGACTTTCGTCTTCCCCCCAACGCAAGGCACGCTGCTAATGAATGCATACAAGCTATGTGAACGGTCCGATACAGTCACGACGAGAGCGCATTGTGTCCGGGGGAGGACAATAGACCACTCCTACACTGAACTGTAGCAGTGCGGAAGAGATAGTGACGGATCCGCCCATACACACATACATGCTGGACCCCAAACATTAATAGTACAGAAATAGTCACACAGCGGTGACAACGCTATATTAATTTCCTTATTAATCTATATCCAATAGTATCCATCGTTCTCTCTGACCTCTACACGTCTATGTTAGCACATGTACGTAACAACAGGTGAGAGTCAATCGAAATCGTCTGTCACACCCCCCTTCCCATTCCTACGTAGCAATACCCCCCCCCCCCCCCCCCCCCCCCTCTCTCTCTCTCTCTCTCTCTCTCTCTCTCTCTCTCTCTCTCTCTCTCTCCCTCTCTCTCTCTCTCTCTGTGTGTCTGTGTGTGTGTGTGTGTGTCACGCGCATGCAACTCATCCCGAAGCTCTGTACTTGCCCACTTTTCCGTTTTCGCACGAATTTTTTTTGCATCTTCCGTGGATTCGCTGGGCTACATTTCCAGCCATCACCTTATTTGTTGAGTGTCATTCCTCCTTCTTGGTATCTCCGTACAGACATCTTCTTGCTGATCACAGGGCCAACGGACTAACAAGCGACAAAGAAGGGCGAAACTGTAGCATTCAGGGCGAAGTAAGAGGAGCGAGAAGCTAGAAAGTAAAGAGGAAGAACATGGAGGAGAGAAAAGGAGAGAAGAGGGAACATGAATGTGAAAGCGCGAATGGTCATTGCTTGCACCTTTTTTATACCGAAAGCCTTCCCACAGTTCTGGGGTAATGAATTCTGGCGTAATCAACTCCCAGCTGCAGCTGGGGGAGAGATGATCGCGCGCGCCTTCAACACGCCAACCCCGCTCTTGAAGAAAGAAGCTGTGTCTTTTCCCTGCGCGGGTAACTTTTCGATTTGTCAACCTCGAGGTAAACCTCGCCGCGCCCAAACCCACACGCTGGTCTCTGCTCTCGCTGGCGCTGGAGAGCAGAGAAGAATGTAGGGATGCGGATTGCGTGCATTCGCCAATAGGGTGCATTCGTCGAGCAAGACAACCAAGAAGGGAAGAATGACATGGCAGGACGAAAAAACGAACCGCCGGAGACACGAAGGAAACAACAAGGAATGGGCGGGGCCACGACGAAAACGCACGCAAACCGAAAAAGAGGCGGGCGAATCGAAGCCAACGAAACGAAAAGATAGAAAATAGAAAAAGGAAAAAGCGCTCGCCGATCGACCAAGCGTTCTCGCCAAAGAGTCACACGCGGCGGCGAAATGGCGACCTTGAACCCTGTGCAGGTCGGTTTCGGGCGTTGGCGTGGGGTTTTCAGTGTCATTTTGGGGTTGACTGAGAAAAAAGAAAAAAAAAAGGGTGCCGGCCAGATCCCACTACGGGTAGCCCCTATTGTTCATTTTTCTGACCGTTGATCGTCGTAATCGAGGGTGACAAATGAATAATCCGGGGTAGTGGGCGGCAAGACTCTGGAAACCGGCTGGAAGGATTCTGGGGTCCTACAGGGCCGCCGGGGGTGGCCGGGAAAGCGCAGAAGGGCCGTTTTCACGTCACCTGTGGCCTACCAGGGTCCCCCCTCTCCAAGCCCTCTGTTCCGGTCACGTTGGGCATTCTGAGGGGGTAGGAAGGGCACACCTTCTGAGGGGGTCTGAGCGACGCCAATGTCCGTCGGTCCATACCTTGGTCCGTGCCAGGCACACAACGGAGAACGGCAAGATTCCCGACCGGCACTCATGAGCAACACTGCCCATGGCCCAAGGAGCAGTTCCCAGTCCCATGTCCTCGGGGCAGATATCCCACTGGTTGGACGAAACGGGGAAGGGAAAACAAGCGAGTGCAATTGTCACATGCGATTCCCCACGTGTGGTGCAGCCAGAAAGTTCACTAGAGTGTCTCCTCGCTCACTGCCCACTGTTGCATCAATATCATGACCTTCCACACCTCTCAATGGTGAAGTTGTCATGCTCCTTGGCCATGATGTCTATGACAAATGTTTGTTGGAACTCTCCTTCCTCTTCCAGCCACCTTTGCACCACTCGGCATTCCCACGACCCCTTCGAAGTTGGATTGCTGCCCAAGCGGGATTGCGAAGCGATGGTCTGTTTGCGCTTTTTGTATCACACCACCTTCCCCAAGCACTATTTGCACCCCCGTTCGCTCCTCATGTACGCTGCAACTGCCCTGTCCCATAATGTCTCCAACTCTAGAACAACAAAAATGTTCCGGTCATAAATGAACATAGACTACATAGTTGAGTGCATTTCCAGTCCTTTGCCAGACCTCTAATCGATTGATGCACACATCGCCTGCAATTTTGTCCAACATTACCGATGTTGCCGAAAACAGCACAACGTGGATGATGCTCCTAGCCCACAATTAATCCCCATTTCAATTGGTCGTCAACGATCCAATTTTGAGGTAGGGGTAGTTGTTGCATTGATTTTCCGTGTTGCTTTTTACGTACTCATTGCTTTCGTTGCCATTATCTTCGCCATCCTTGTCATCATTGCAATCTTGATCGGCGTGATCCATTTGCAGAAATGACCCTCACAAGCTATGGATGGGCGATATCGGACCCGTCATCCGGACAGATTGGCATCATCAGGCAAAGAGGCTGCAAGTAATCGCGACTATTGAGGGTTTTTTGTCGATAGGAGGGTGATACCACGGCGGGAGTACTTTGGTCATACATGGGTGAGCATGTTTTGCAACTCCCTATTACCTCCTCCACCTTTGGAGAAAGATCCTACAATACCTTCATTCGGGTAAGACAAACTTCGACGGGCGATTTGAGGCGCACGCTACCTCGCCAACTTGAGGTATCTCATCCCAAGTCACCAACCTACCATATTCCTCCTACTAGGTGCTGCAATCACCGTACCTACTCACACCTCCATGGATATGATTGCTAAGGTGAGCGACCTTGCATTTATGGAACCAGGGATAACCAAGGTTCATGCGACTCCGAGCTAAGGAAACAGTTGCAGTTGCTCTGTTGCAAGGATGACAGTGATGGGTGCTTTCTCGTTCTCGCATCGTGAAGTTGCATCAACCCTCATTGTGTGTTATGTTGGATATCCCATATACCCCCTAACTGTTGTCTCATCCCCCTTAAACGTCACTATCTCTAATGAAAACAGATTATATCATTCATTACAACAAATCCTGCTGGTTGTGATGGAGATAAAATATTTCGCACCTCCGCTCTAAGTTCCGCCAACCATAATGAACCTCGAATGTTTGGCGTCTTCACAGTAACTTGAAGGCTTACAATCTTTAGTGGACGTATCCAGAAGACTGCAGTGATTACAAAAGTAGTATCATGATCTCTTGAGGAACAAGTTAAACTTGCATGGTACTATGGTGAGGATGATTGTTTTTTGCAAGCATTTTTTTACCTCGGCTTCCGGATACACTATACAATTATAGCCTTTTTCTCATATCCTCCTCGAAATCTACTTGTTACGTTGTTACCTATAAACGTTTGCGAAGGCGGTATAGAGCGTGACAATCTGGCACCTTTACATACTATTTATAAGTTGTAAGAACAGCTCGACTTCCGATAACTTAGGTTTACGCGATGACAACGACATATCTAGGTGGAGCGAAAAAATAGAGGTTAATGCACGTCGTGATTGTGGACAGAATACGAAAGGGAGGGTGAATATACAACCTCGAGACGAGTCGAAAGGTTATAATACAAGCATGAAAGCAAGAAGACAATGTATGGAAAGGCAAGGGTGGATACATACCATAGCTAGCCGTGCTCTTTATCTAAGGTCTTCGTAAAATTAACGTGAATATATTGTTATTAGTTGAAGTAGGCAACTTTGATCCTTATTGCGACCAGTACAAGAGGTGCATAAATTGTTGGGGAAAGGATCGGGGAAACATCGGGGAAAGTTAGTGTAGTGGTGAGCGCAATGGTGGATAGGAATCATATGCTCTCATGGTTACTCCGGATTATGGTGGGGCGACATGCAGGGCATCGAGATAGAGGAGATGATAATAATAATATCAACCTTTCAAAAATGTGGCGATATGTCGACATGGTTGATCATATGTTTGTTGCTCATGGGGTTTAAATCGCATTTTTCTTCTTGCTTCTGACTTTTTTTTATTTTTTATCCTATCGTTTTTTTTTTTTTTTTTTTTTCAGTAGTCTATTTAAACGATTATTGCGGGGTCTTGCTTTACTGCTTACGACAATAATCAGAGAATGTAAAAAAAAAAAATTGCATTGAGTTTCCTCAACCGCACATCATCGCAACACGTCGAAATTCGGGTGTTGAGGAAACTTGACTCTATTATTGAGACTTGAGCGCAAGCTAATACAGTCACCGAAGAGTGCATTGTGCTACCTGCGGGCAACTAATCCTCTAGCTCCTTTCATATAAATTAGTGTTGCCCTGCGAATAAATGACAATAATTTTAAACCACAAGTATGTTGCCCATATACCAGTTGTGAACCCTTGTCCAGATTTCATATAACAGTTGTGTCATAAGTTTCGCAAATTTCATGACCGATGATGCAACAGAAAAAAATTCAAGAATTAAATAATCATTCTAAAGTAAAATTACATTCTAAATTTTAAATTTTCATTCCATCTTAAAAAATGTCATTCTCATTTTAAAATTTTCCGTCTTACTTGAAAACTTTCCTTCCAAGAATGGGGTAACCCTTTTTATTTGAACTGCATGCTAGAGATGGAATGAAAGTCTGGATGAGTTCATGAAATATTTTAATTGGACTGTCATTCTAAGTAAGGATTTTCAGTCATAAATAGGTTAATCTAATCTAAATTAGACGATATTTGTTGTAGTAAAATGAAAGTTTAATTAAAACATTTTATAAACTCGTCCAGATTTTCATTCCATCTTGAACAAATAGATGTAGTTGGAAGGGAAAAATCATATTTAGACGGAAACTTGTCAAATTAAATTGAAAATTTTAGAATTGGACAAACATTGGAATAGTAATCTATAAATATGAAAGATTTTTTTTTTTTTATGGAATGTTTTTTCAACTTTAATTTCTCATGGGAATTTTTCTGTTGTGATTTTTATCAACGACTCATATCGATTCGTTTTTTCGGTGGGCAAGGGGTCCCCAGAATCAAAGAATAACATCTCAGACGTATTGGTCATTTAATAGTTCGTTGCACCTTACTTCAATTTTTTATCCACTTATCCAAGATGATACTTTCACTTGTATGTCCATGAACAATTCATATATCATTGACTTGCCTAAATCGTGTCAGAGTTGCATTGTGTTTTTTTTTTCCATAGCCAGAGAGATCTGGAGGAACGTAAGGTTCACATCACCGAATTATAAATTACCTCACACGCTTGTGTCCATTGGCAATTTATATATTATTGGCTTGCAGATTATTCTAAGACTGCATTATGTGTTTTTTCATAACCCAGAGATATGTAGTCTGACGCAAGGTTCACACCACCGAATTATAAATGACCCGTGTTGGGGGTTGATGATAAAACTCAACTCCGATTACAAAAGGGAAACGACAAGGAAGGAAGGGTAGTTACATATATTGGATGTAATGTCACAAATTGACAAGGTCGTCACCTTGTTGTTATACTATATATATCACATGTGGGATATTCTTTTCGATTTTTCGTAATTAGATAATGTCAGTGCAGCGAACCTTTAGTTGTCGTGGTATACAATCAGGGTTATTTGGCTATTTGCTTGTTCGGCTTGTGAGACCAAATCCTGGCCTGTTCCCTCAGGTCGTGTAAATATTTATTCCAATCAGGTCTGACATCACTGTTGATACTAGTCTAGTCCAGTCTAGTCAGTCAGATGGGGATATTTATGGGTTATACCCCTGTTGCAACATGTTTCTTGATTAATTTTTCAATTGCACAACTTAGAGTACGTGTATATTGAGTCTGCGTCGTAGCTGCGCTGTCGAGCCCATCGGCCCTCGCGTGAACGAGGGCCCTCCCGTCCATGTCACGCAGGAGTTAAAAAAAAACATAACTTAAGAGACAACTCAGGAAACGACGCAGAAATCCCGCATGCCGTCGAAACGGGTGCGGTCGCGTCGTCCCCTCGCCGCTCTGGCCGGGTGCGCCAGCTATACATCCCGTGGTCCCCTACGACAGGACAGGTT